AAATTTGGTGAAGAATTTCGATGTGGCCCTGAGGCATAATGCGAGGCTTACTCCCCTATGAGCCCCTTTCAGGCCCTGCCAAGTATCACGTCGGCCGCCCTAAGTGAAGGCAGGCACAACGAGGGCCTGTGGACCCCTATTTCGGTCACCACGCAACTCAAGGAAATTCAGGCACTTGCACAGCGCCAGTTGGTTGGAAGAACCCACGCCCTGGGCAGCCTGTTTGAATGTATTGAAGGCAGGCCTTGGGCTGGATACGGGATGTGGGCCTAACACAGGCCGTTGACAGTTGGGCGCGAGCAACCACTACAGGCCCAGGGCCTGAGTTATGTGGACTGGGCCCCAGCTTGCCGGGGCCTACGGGAAGCTTCTTGGGAAAGGCCCAGCGCAGCCTGGGACAGCAAGCAGGCAGGCCACTTCCATATAGCAAAGGGCCTGCCTCCGCATTTGGTATTCGGGTGCTGGCTGCATGCTGCGCAAGTGCTGCTGCGCTGAAGCTAGCTAGCGCTCACGCGCTCACGGGCGAGCAGGAAGGAGCGGGCAGCCATAGCCGAGCTGCTCCGCTGTGAGCTGGGTGTGGCGCAGGGTGGTCCTTGGGTGCATGTGGCAACTGTGTGTTGGGGAATGAGGTTGTGAGTGAAGCGAGAGACATACCTGGTGCTGGAAGCGTGCGGCATTGGCCGCTATCTGCCCGTGCTTCAGGAGAGCTGTTGTCGTCATCTTCGGCATTGTAGTATAGGCTAGATAGGATCTGCGATCTGTAGTCTGGGTGCCGAGCGCCAGATAGGATATCAACATTGGTTCTTCGTTGATGATGATGATGGGTCTATTTCAGCATTGTCAATTATGAGCTCTTGGTGCGTTCTTATTTGGTGAAACTCGTGATGCAATTCTGCTGTTGGTTTGAGGTCACGACTGTCTGGACTTATGTTTATGTTGCTGTTTGATTGCTGAAGTTCGCTATCGCTCATCTTCCTTGCAATTTGGTATCGGAGCTGTGGTACGTTGCGCTCATCTGGCGCTTGTCTTCTGCCTTATGTGAAACATACATGCGGTCTGCTTGGGAGTGTGGCTGTAGGCGGTGTGTAGTGAGGAGGGCAGAGACAAGAATAGGCGACCCATGAGGTGAGGGGATCGCCTGGAAGGCTACTGTGTGTATATTGGGTGTTCGCAGTGTGATGAGAACTATCTGGTGGTTGATTGATGCCGACGTGGAACGGCGAGATAATGCTGGTTGTGCCGATGCAGTGACTAGTCATCGCAATCGCCATCAGGTCATCTGGTGAGAATATCTGTGGTTGGGGGCACCTACATTGAGGTACGTTGCTCTTAACCTTATCTACCCTCTTCATCACTTCTTACCGTGAGGTTGTGAGTTCCTTCTTGAGGGTCCTCTCATTATGAGGTGTCGTGTGCGCTCAACCTTGAGAGTCGGCATTGTTCTTGTGGAGCATCTGGAAGGAGAGGGCGGTGCTTTCTGAAGGGCCCTGGATGGAGCGCTGGGTCACGGTCACCATGCCAACCCACCGGGAGTAGGGCACGCATGCTTTGCTGCTTTGTCCTTGTCTGCTTGTTGCGCTCATAGAAGGGGTACTGAAGAGCAGGCCAGCTCTATGGGGAGACGAGTATCGGGCGTCTATAAATAAACACCGGCAGGGGAAACCACTGCTGTGATCGTCATCCTGCTGCGACGTAAAATAATTCCTGATGACACTTGGGGGCGGTTGTTAAATTGCCTCTTGATCAGCCAGTTGGTGTAAGGCTTGCTGCACGGGAGGGTAACCATTGTGCAGGGCTGGCCTGCTCAGCAGCTACTCGGGGCACAGGGGTGGGCCGTGTGCACACCTTTAGTCACGCACGCTACCGGATCGCTCAGGGACGCTGACATCGAGTGACAATCAAGGGGAATTGGGGAAGGGGTAGATTCCAGGTGATAAGTTTGAGTAAGATGCCATGCTGAGAACAGACCCAACAAATGGCATTATTTTTATTTTGATTAGTTAGATGTACAGCCATTGACATCTGACAGACAGCATACTTTAGAACTGTTCATTGTTCATTGTGCTTCTGTTTGCGGACTAGTCAAAGTAGAGTAGTGTTATTTGTAGGAATCTGCAGTTACCTGTTGGACCCAAATGTATCTACTCCGAATTAGCCACCAATTAATTAATTATTTATTTTAAATTGGTTTGGGCATTACGCTGTGGTAGGTATTTAGTGTAACCTAGTGCAGATTGTGCTCAGTGCTGTAGCTTATGAGCGATAGGGAGGAACAGCAACCGGACGACCGGATCCTGCGATCAGCAAGACGCCCACTTGCACACTTGGCATTAGGACCAGAGGGCGACAAGTACCTGTTCCGCCAGCGTAGGGAGAGTCTGCAGCAGCAGCAGAGAGGTAGGGACGCAGAAGTTAGCAGAGCTTTCGCAAGTGAGGCCGCTGCTTCAGTAGCCATGGCTAGCGCTGCACAGCAGTCCTCTCAGGCTGGGAGTTCAGGAACTGTAGGGTCAACTGCGGCGCAGACCCAGAGTAAGTCGGCTGGCGTAATGGCAAGCCAGTCAAATGTGTTGTCACCCGAGGAGATCGCCATACAGCAGGCTGCCCTGCAAGAGGCACAGCTACAGAAGGCTTTAGGGGATACAAAGGCAGAGAAAGAGAGAATGATTAGAAGAGTAGCCAGGATGCAGCGAAGAGAAGCGGATGTTAGGCAGTTAGAGGAAATGGATCTGACCAATATGAATGTGGATGTGAGGGTAGTTTGGACGGCCCTGTTAGGAGTCATAGAGACGCAGGACCATCGGACTGCCATCCTCCAAGACATTCAGCAGAGTCTAGCCTGGCTGGTTGCATGATTGCAGGCGGCTCCATTACCGTCAGGGCCTGGTGGCTGGCCCGTGGCACATCCTCCGCCTCCTGTCCCACCGGTTACTGGGGTATCCCCATATGTAGCCCCAGCATCGGTCGCTGTCGTTTTCCTGGGCATGCCGCTATCAGGAGGGTTATCAGCAGGACCTAGTGTCCAAATTCCTGTACAGACAGTGTTATCCCAACCTCCGTCGCAGGCTGCCATCAGTGGGCAATCTGTTGTCCCGCAACCTGTGCAGCCGCAGGGGACACAGCCCCAGCAGCAACAGGTGCAGCAGCCTGTTCCCCAGAGGCAACCAAGTGTGGGACAAATGCAGGGACAAACACAATGGGTACCGAAAACGACAATCGCTGCTCCTAAACCCTTTTTAGGGGATAAGAGGGGCGAAGATCTCGACACATGGTTGAGGGCGGTGCCGGTATATGTTAAGTGTAAGTTGACCTTGCCACACGAGGAAGTACTTGTGGTTGCCTCCTATCTAGATGGTAGTGCAGCAAGATGGTTGAGTGGGTTAGTGCAGCTACAGGGATACGGTCATGACTTTCGCGCTTGGGCAGCCAGGCAAAAGTTGGATGACTTCCTCAAGCTGGTGGAGGAAGGTGGCATGATCCTCAGGAGGCTCAAAAGGTCACTGACGCGATCCTGACCTTGAGTGTTACGAGCGTGAGGCTGAGGGTGAGCCGAGGGAGAGGAGAGAGAGGGAGAGAGTGAGAGCACACACACACACTCACTCACTTGACACGACGGACTCGGACTGAGGATCAGATGCAGACACAGTGGCAAGGCACAAAGTCGAAGTCTTGGATTCCGAATGTCGAAACAGCAAGTCACACTGAGTACGAGTACAGCAACAGAGAACCGGTACGAGATTGGTCCCCGTACCGTACGGGGAGCCGGTATAAGTACCGGTGACACGTACGGTACCAGGGGCATTTCTGCAAAGTCCCCGAGGGCAGAACTGAAAAATGCAGTATTTGAAAGTGGCGCCCGAATTGCAGCATGGCGCCAGTTGTCCAAAATCCTACGGTTCCAAAGGAGGGGTTTGGAAAAAGGGTGCCAGGCCGAAAACAGGATGCAGTCGAAACAGCAAAAAGATAGACCAGGGATCAAGCCCTGGCGAAGTCCGTAACACTATCCCCTCCCTCTAGAAGCCAACGTCCCGGCTGCCAAGAACCATGAAGCAATGCTGAAATCTGTGAAGGACGGGACGGGGCCGATCACTGGTTAACAAGTCGAAAGGGAAGAGGGGTATAATGTGGGTGGCATGGGCTGCGGGAGTAAGAGGGAACAGGGTTTGGTACTGGTGAACAAAGTTGTCCTACTGATGAACCAGGGGGGGTTGCAAGGAACAGGGTAGTCCTACAAATGAACTAAAGGGAAGATAGTGAGCAGGGTGGTCCTACTGATGAACTAAGGGGACTGCATGGTTCGCTATAGGTTAAGGGGGAACAGAGTGCAGGGAACAGGGCACTTCTATTGATGTTCTACTGGGTAAGAGAAGCGGTGTTCAGGAAAACAGGGTATTTCTATTGATGTTGTAGTGGGTAAGGGAAACAATGGTCAGGGGAACAAGGGATGTCTATTGATGTTCTAGTGGGTAAGGGAAACAATGGTCAGGGGAACAAGGGATGTCTATTGATGTTCTACAGGGTTGTCAAAGTTAGGAAAAATAAAGATGAAAATGTTTGTTCAGGRTGCCAAGGCTGGTGTGTYCGAAGAAGTCGGAAGCAGAATCTCATGTAGGAACAAAGTGTCCAAGTGTCTTGAAAGGGGGTCTGCAGCGGTCTTGATCAGGTCTTTGGAGTAGGTGGTAGAAGCGGTCTTCAGCAGCTGCGATAGGTAGAAGTCCAAGAAGGGTAGCAGTAGTTCAAGTGTCGAAGTCCAAGTGCTAGGGTGCGTCCTGTACACGAACTGCGATGAGGTCTGATCTGGAAGCAAGGAAGTCGCAGACTGATGCAAAGATCCATGTCACAAGTTGCTGCTCCAGTAAGTCCGCGAGTCGGGATGCCGGCCAATGAAACAGCATGGTGGCCAAACCAGCTGCATAATCTCCATGAACAGTGAGGCAGCAGGCCATCATCCTCGTGCGCTTGCCATTAGATCCTTTATCGCCGGCGTCACGCAAGTTCACAAGCATTGGACGAGAGAGACAAGGTAGTGGAGAGGACAGATGGGACAAGGCTAGGTGAGGGCAAGGCAGATCAGACATCAGGAATGAGGATCAAGGGAAGGGTGGTTCAAGGGTGTGTGTAGAGCAGGGTTGCAAGGGTTTAGCGGGGGTTTATGCCATAGTGATATAGGTATCTAGGACGTAGGATTAGCACGATCATAGGCGCTGACAAGTTTCATGGCGTTCTTAAGATTAGAGAGAGGTCCCATGTAGATTCTTCGTCGGGGTATCCGGTCCATTTGACTTTGTATTCAGTGATTGGTTCCGGATGATCAGATACCTGAGTGGTTCGTCGGCCGATGATGGTTTCGACAACGAATTCAGGGCTTGTGGGTAGCATGATTGGTGGAGGTCTAGGATATGGGCGGTCGGCGAACTGGAGCGGGGATTCATGGTATTCTTTTAGGTACTCGACATGGAAGACTGGGTGGACAGTGTTCAGGTGGAGGGAGGAGTGGGAGTAGAAGGGTCGGGTCCCGTGGAGTGAGGGGCCTGTCAAGTAAAGTGGCTAGCGTTGGGGCAGTTGGTCTGTTGATGACCTAACTGGCGGCAACGAAAACACCCGTTGTGTTCCTGGAGGTATATGCGTTATGCGGGTGTGAGTTTCTGGAGGCGGCGGGGTGGAGAGGAAGAAGGCGGTCGAGAGGTAAGATCCTGGCGTTCCATCCGTATAAGGTGGGCGGTCTGGAGGTCCTCGATGGTGAATTGGGAGGGGTCGAGAGAGGCAGTGTCGAAGTCGTCATCGGAGGTGGGTTGAGTAGTGTCGTTATGGAAAAAGAGGGGGCGGGAGGGAGCGGCCACGGACTGGTGGTGGGGATGATGACGTGGCGCAACAGCGGCGATCCCGTCGGTGACGATGTTGATGGGGCACAATGACGACGATCGCGATGATGACGATGATGACGTGGCACGACGGCGACGATCACAACGACGATGATGACATGTCACGGCGATGACGATCACGATGATGGCGACGAGGTGGACGGCGACGATGATGAATCAGGGCGGGAGGGAGGGCCGAAGCCGCTCCGATACCAGTGTTACGAGCGTGAGGCTGAGGGTGAGCCGAGGGAGAGGAGAGAGAGGGAGAGAGTGAGAGCACACACACACTCACGCACTCGACACGACGGACTCGGACTGAGGATCGGACGTAGAGATAGTGGCAAGGCACAAAGTCGAAGTCTTGGATTCCGAATGCCGAAACAACAAGTCACATTGAGTACGAGTACAGCAGCAGAGAACTGGTACGAGACTGGTCCCCGTACTGTACGGGGAGCCGGTATAAGTATCGGTGACACGTACGGTACTAGGGGCATTTCTGCAAAGGCCCCGAGGGCAGAACTGGAAAATGCAGTATTTGAAAGTGGCGCCCGAATTGCAGCATGGCGCCAGTTGTCCAAAATCCTACGGTTCCAAAAGAGGGGTTTGGAAAAAGGGTGCCAGGCCGAAAACGGGATGCAGTCGAAACAGCAAAAAGATAGACCAGGGATCGAGCCCTGGCGAAGTCCATAACATTGAGCGCTCATTCGTTCAAGTCAGTTAGGGAGGCCACAGACGCAGTAGAGCGTCTGATTTGTGTCCCTGGGGTCCGCTATGACCCCCAAGTCTTACTGATGACTTACCTGAGGTGTCCGCTGATGCCAATCAGGAATCAGTTGGCAGTTGAGGCTAACATCAATGTGCACAACTTTCCATCGTTCAACAAGAAGGCCCTAGACCTTGAAGCTAAGATAGGGCATGGACATAACCCATTGACAGACGGTAGGAAAAAGACACTGCCTCCCAACTGGAAGGCGAAGGGGCGCATTATGTTCGTCGACAACGATGGTTCGACCATCGAGTTGGACGACGCCCCCCAGTTAGGAGCTGGTTCAAAGGCAGGCAGCGTAGAGACTTCAGAGGGTGGAGTAGTCGCTGCCGTAACACAACAAAAAGGTAAGGGGACCGGTAGACGCCGAGGAGGCTCCCGATCCAGGAGTCAAGTCGACCCCAATGCTCCTCCATGGGAGAAAATGGGTCTCACAGAGGACGTGTGGAGAGATCGGTATACACGGCAGGCTTGCATAACCAATTAAAGTTCCGAAATAAGAAGGTTACCGAGAAGATCCCGCCTACTATGTGGCAGGCGGTAGGATCCTCCGTTCCCGTTGGTAGCAATGTTGCCAGTACTTCAGGCACTGCTTCGGGAAACACGTCGGGCCAGTAGGAAGAGTAGTTGTTCCTGCTAGGGTCGAGGTGGTGGACACACCCTCACCATCTCGAGAGATGGCCCAAGCTACTGACTCCACCATCGTTCCGCAAACACATTCAGACCCATCGACCCTCTGTTCGATGAATGTGTTCGAGTCCTTAGAGGAGCTAGAGGAGGAGTGGTCTAGATCAGACCCACTAGCTTCTTGGACGACATTAGTCAAAGCTCCCAAGGCTGAGATGTTCATCAGTGAGGTAGTCATTAGCGGTTGTAAGACTGGGGCCTATTATGACACTTGCTCGACGAGGAAGTTCATTAGTCGTGCATGTGTTGAGAGGCTGCGCTTACAGGGGCGAGTGCATCGCCTGAGTCGACCTGTGGAGTCGACCTGTGCCAAGAAACAGCGCATGGTAGTTAATGACTACCTTCAGGACGTTGAGTGCCTTTTCCCGCACGCGGGAGGGGAATTGAGACATCGCGTCTCGTTCCTAGTGAGTGACGAACTCCCCATGGATATGTTGTCAGGTATGTACTACCTCTCTGTGGCACAGCCCCAGTTTGACTGGGACCGAAAAGTGGTCAAACACACTTTGCCAGGTGGAGGGACTGCCATATTGCGTAGGTTCAAAGCTAGTAGTCTGATTGAGTCCCACGGGTGCATGTGTGCGGCCGCGTTCGATAATTATTATAAGCAAAATAAGGAGGAGGGTATGTATCTAGTTTATGTCTCTGGTGCAGGGGAGCTGGTGAAAATCCCGCCGGAGATAGAGGGAGTAGTTGCTAAATACCCTGATCTATTTGAAGAGCCAACAGGGGTTGTTGAGAGGGAGGTCGTCCACGCGATAGAGATTATCCCGGGGTCTGGTATCTCAAAAGGTAGGATCTATCGGATGTCTCCAGGCGAGCTCGATGAGCTTCGCCGACAACTCAAGGAACTCATAGAAAAGGGGTGGATCTGGCCGAGTGTTTCTCCTTATGGGTCTCCAATTCTATTCGTACCCAAGAAGAAGGAAGGAACACTTAGGATGTGCATTGACTATAGGGGCCTCAATGCCATCACTGTCAAGAGGAGAGAGCCCCTACCGCGCATCGAGGATTTGCTAGATAGAGTGCAAGGGTGTCGGTACTTCAGTAAGATAGATCTGAAGTCCGGGTACCACCAGATTGCAATCCGGCCTGAGGATCAACACAAAACCGCCTTTCATACCAGGTACGGTCTGTACGAGTTTGTGGTGATGCCTTTCGGCCTTTGCAATGCTCCTGGCACCTTTCAGCACGCTATGAATCGGATATTTCATGATTACTTGGATAAGTTTGTCATCGTGTACCTCGATGACATACTTATTTTTAGTAAGATTGTCGAGGAGCACGTTGCGCATTTGGACAAAGTCCTTAGTCTTCTGCGACAGCACAAGTTCAAGATTAACGGTGAGAAGTGAGGGTTTGGCCGCACCCGTGTCTTGTACTTGGGTCATGAGATGTCCGCGGAAGGTTTAAAGCCAGATGACGCGAAGGTGGCCAGCATTCGTGATTGGCCACGTCCTTAGTCAGTGACTGAGATGAGATCCTTCTTAGGTATGACAGGCTACTACCGCAACTTCGTGCAGAACTATAGTATAGTGGCCGCTCCTTTGACGGATCTGACTCGACTTGACACCCCATGGGAGTGGACAGACAGGTGTGAGGCTGCTTTCAGGCAACTGAAGCATGCATTGACACACTATGAGGTCTTGAAACTTCCTGATCCTGACAAGTCGTTCGTTGTAACTACGGATGCCAACCAATATGGCATTGATGCCGTACTTGCCCAGCAGGAGGGGAAAACGTTGAGACCGGTAGAGTACATGTCCAAAAAGATGCCCTCTCAAAAGTTGGCTAAGTCCACCTATGAGAAGGAGCTCTATGCGATCTACAAGGCGCTAACACATTGGAGGCAGTATCTCCTTGGGCGCTTCTTCTACGCCAGGACTGATCATCAGACCCCGAGGTGGATGAAGACTCAGTCAGTACTCTCTGATGCTCTGAAGCATTGGATAGAAGTCATAGAACAGTACGACTTCGAGCCCCAGTACATCAAGAGCGAGTACAACAAGGTTGCAGATGCGTTGTCGCGCAGGCCAGACTTCCTCGGTGCGCTGGTCACTGAATTTGGGCTTGCGGACGATGTTACTCAGTCTTTGGTGGAAGCCTATCGCGAGGACCCGTTTATGGCCGAGATCATACGCAGACTCGAGGCGAAGGACAAAGAGACTTCCGCCGAGTTTGAGTTGGTCAACGGCCTGCTGTTCCTTGAGAAGGCAGGGAATAAGCGTTTGTGTGTACCTAATAGGGTGTCTTTGCGTAGTTTATTTTTAGGCGAATGTCATGATGCTACAGGACATTTTGGGTTCAAGAAAACTGCGGCTAATCTGCAGTAGTGGTTCTGGTGGTCCACATTGATGAGAGATGCTAAGTTGTACGTGGAGACTTGTCAGGTCTGTCAGAGGGACAAGCCACGTGCTCAGGCTCCTCTTGGGCTCGTGAAGCCCCTTCCAGTTCCGGAAAGGCCTGGTGAGAGCCTGTCCATGGACTTCATGGATACGCTGGTCACCAGCAAGAGTGGAATGCTCTACATCTACGTCCTTGTGGATAGGTTTAGTAAGTTTGCTAGGTTAGTTGCAATGCCGGCAACAGCTAAGACGGAGTATGTGATTACAATGTTTAAAGAGAATTGGATTAGAGATTTTGGATTGCCAAAGTCTATCGTTAGCGACCGGGACGTGCGATTTACCAGCGAATTGTGGAAAGCAGCAGCTGCAGAGCAAGGCACGCAACTGCAGATGACATCAGGCAATCATCCCGAGGCAAACGGGCAGGCTGAACAAATGAATCGCGCTGTACAACACCTGCTAAGGCATTACATAAAGCCAAATCAGGTAGATTGGGATGAGAAACTTGCTCTCATCACCAGTTTGTACAATAATGTTGTGCACAGCGCAACCGGAGCCAGTCCTAACAGCTTGCTATTGACCTTCAGACCTGGACTTCCTTTAGACTTTCTACTACCTGACAATCAGCCAACTGCTGCACCAGGGACTCTAGAGTTTGTGTATAGATATGAGCACTTGATGCAGCAGGCTGTTGAGCAGATGCACAAAGCACAGGCGGCGATGATAGAGTCTGAGAACAAGCACCGCCGCCCATCTACATTCCAGGTAGGGGAAAGAGTCTGGGTGAAGTCCTCCGAACTGGAACAAGAGTACGGTATATCCCGTAAACTCGTGCCACAGTACTTTGGGCCGTGGGAGGTATTCGATGTCGTGGGGAATGAACCGGATGGCCCGTCTTATGTTATTCGCATCCCTGGTCACTTACGCACTTACCCTGTCTTTCACGCCTCCAAGCTTGCACCTTTCAAGGAAACAGATCAGTTTCCTTCTCGACGCTCAATGCTGCCCCCAACCATGGATGGAGAGGTGGACATAGACGACATCGTGGATCACAGAGAGCTGCCCGTTCCAAGACCGACAGGCAGGGGACGTCCTCCGAAACCGAAGCTGCAGTACCGAGTTCGGTTCCGACATCATCTGGATCCAAAGGAGGACCGCTGGTTCACTAGGGAGGAACTCATGCAGAACGCTCCTCAGATCGTAGCTCAATATGAGAAGTCTCTGCAGAAGGGAAAGCTCCAGATCATCGAAGACTGAACTTCTCAGAGGACTAGCGAAGTTATGGAGGAGGGAATGCGAGGCTTATGCCCCTATGAGCCCCTTTCAGGCCCTGCCAAGTATCATGTCGGCCGCCCTAAGTGAAGGCAGGCACGACGAGGGCCTGAGGGCCCTCATTTTGGTCACCACGCAACTCAAGGAAATTCAGGCAGTTGCGCAGCGTTCGTTGGAAGAACCCACGCCCTGGGCAGCCTGTTTGAATGTATTGAAGGCAGGCCCTGGGCTGGATACGGGATGTGGGCCTAACACAGGCCGTTGACAGTTGGGCGCGAGCAACCACTACAGCCCCAGGGCCTGAGTTATGTGGACTGGGCCCCAGCCTGCCGGGGACTACCGGAAGCTTCTTGGGAAAGGCCCAGCGCAGCCTGGGACAGCAAGCAGGCAGGCCACTTCCATATAGCAAAGGGCCTGCCTCCGCATTTGGTATTTGGGTGCTGGCTGCATGCTGCGCAAGCGCTGCTGCGCTGAAGCTAGCTAGTGCTCACGCGCTTGAGGGCGAGCAGGAAGGAGCGGGCAGCCATAGCCGAGCTGCTCCACTGTGAGCTGGGTGTGGCGCAGGGTGGTCCTTGGGTGCATGTGGCAACTGTGTGTTGGGGAACGAGGTTGTGAGTGAAGCGAGAGACATACCTGGTGCTGGAAGCGTGCGGCATTGGCCGCTATCTGCTCGTACTTCGGGAGAGCTGTTGTCGTCATCTTCGGCATTGTAGTACAGGCTAGATAGGATCTGCCATCTGTAGTCTGGGTGCCGAGCGCCAGATAGGATAACAACATTGGTTCTTCGTTGATGATGATGATGGGTCTATTTCAGCATTGTCAATTATGAGCTCTTGGTGTGTTCTTATTTGGTGAAACTCGTGATGCAATTCTGCTGTTGGTTCGAGGTCACAACTATCTGGACGTATGTGTATGATGCTGTTTGATTGCTGAAGTTCGCTATCGCTCATCTTCCTTGCAATAATATATATAAAAAAAACGAAAAAAAAACTATGTTATGCAGAAAAAAAAACGGGTCCGGCGTCCTTTACATATAAACCGCAGCCATACAGGGCTGGGAAAAGCACTCCCGACCAATCCCATCGCCGACTGCAGCCAAGAAATCAGGCAACGTTGCTCAAACCCTAGCTGCCACTAACTAGTCATTTGAAAGCCGATGCAATTCAGAAAAAAGTCGAATCTAGCACTACTAAACTTAGTATCTCCTAATTACTCACTAATCCTAATTACTCCACAATCACCGTCTGTCTAAACTAAACTAACCCAGCGTATAAAACCAGTTAAAACCAAACTAACTTTCCTCCCCCCTATCAGATTACCATTCCCCAGTGTTCTAATTAGTATCCCCTAAATTTCCACGACCGCCGCCAGCTCCGTATTTATGCACTCCAATTCAGCAGGCGGCAATCAAAAAGTAACCCAAATTACAATTCGTCAACAAAACCGACCCGATTATCGTTTTCTCCTTCCCCCTAGCTAAGCCCAGAAGTAGAGGCTATACACCTAATTAGCTAGGCTCCAACACAACACACACACACACAAAAAGAAAAGAAGAAAAACCACGACAAAACCGTGTGAAGCCAACTGTTGCAATCCAAGTCCTTCCACCGATGAGCGGAACGCCGGCCACGTGACTAAAACAGGGTCAACAACCTGTGGGCTATGTTTCCCCTTGGCCGCGGCCGCCGGCCGTGGCTGGGACCCCCCCGGCCGCGGCCGCTCCCCTACCCCCTCATTTTTGAGGGGGGGGGATAATTTTGGGGCCGAAAAAAAAAAAAAAA